TTTTTTTTTATTTTTATGTATTTTCTTGTTTTGTTCCTCTCTTCAAACTCACGTTGGTTAGTTTCTATCCTCCTTGAGTTTGCGGGGGGCTGTTAGAATTTACCATAAACCTACCACCACTACCACCTCACCTACTCCACTAAACCTAACCCACTACACCACTACCACCTCCACTTCACCTACTCTCCACCTACTCCCAAACACACTCCTATATAATAGGAATCCTTGTAATTGTAATTTATATCAATTAATAATACATCAGTTCTCTTACATCTTTGTTCCCAAACATCTTCCGCAGATTACTAAGTAAACATATGTTATGGTTTAAAACATGAAATTATTTGAAGCTGATGCTTGTTGGCATTGGTAATGGTGATAGAGTGGTGGTTGAAGTGTGGGAGTATGAGGAACAAGAGCAATGCAATATATCTGAGAAAGGAAGTATGTGATTTGTGTCTTTGTGTCGTGACTAAGTAAAGTGATGCATTGTCATGTGACAGTCATTTGAGTTTTTGCTACCACATCTTCATGTGCGAGTCATGTGAATTTATTAACGTGGAAAACTGCTATTAGTTTAGTATGGAGGCATGGCACCTTTAGCACCACATGCATATTCTGAAAGTTTATAACTGAACATGACTGCTAGGATGTTCATCGCTTCAGTTAGATGATAGGTTGTTTTACTTGGCTTTTGTTGCATCTTCTAATCAAATGGATGCGTGAGCAGTAATTAGAACATACGCAACGCTCTATTACTACGGATTCATGATGTTCTAACTTGTCAAACCCCCCTTGTCAATTCAGTGCATCATTGAGAAAGAGAACAACTTCAAGCAGCCTGGAGAGAGGTACCGATCCTGGGCACCAGACAGGTACTTCTTTTCCTTCAATTTCTCTGAAAATGTTAAAATATTCTTATAATGATGTCAATTTCCTCTAATGGTATTTGCTATTTTTCCAGGCAAGCGGGGTTGATCCCCCGGGTTCATCTGCCGATGGGTTGAGGCTTTATCTGACCCACGTGTCACCCATGAGATCTGCAGTATCTGGATCTCGTATTGGTCTCAGGTCAGACCCCTTGCATTTTTAAGCATTTTTGCAAATTATAAGTGTGACTTCCAATTTTAATTTTGAAATTGGGCTGTATTATGCTAATGCAATCTCGGGTTTTACATGTTGCAGGCTGATAAGTCTTTGGGTCAGAAGATTGCAAATCGCCTGAACGTGAGGCCTAGCATTTGAAGTTGAGGTCAGCCCTGGATGTTTTTAGTTGCTGAAAGTGAGTAATGTAGTGAGAGTGAGAACATCAGTTGCATGGAAGTATGCGTTCAACTGTTAATCCTCTGTTGTGTTCTATTATAATTTATGTGAATGAACTAAGTTGCATGAGGTGACATTTTGACCCTATAATTTCCCTATATTAATTAAGTGCAGTTATAAAATCAAATACCAAGAAACAAGCATAGGTTAAAACTGTTCTCCATTGTTTTGCTTTCTTTGTATATGGGAACTCTATGTACTTGCTTTTTTATGAATGAAGTTCTTATATGTGGAAGAAAAATTTAGGTTATTACATTGGAGAAACTGGGATGTGTTTTAATTCAGTTTGTGGGGTTTTGATTATTGATTTTAGTGTTTACAATAGAAGAATTTACAATCTGGGCAGAAGGACGACTCAGCTTTAATAATCCTAGTGGAGGCTAGGCTAATGGGGTAGGATAGCAATGGCATGAGATCATTTGTTTCAAAATCTGTGTGGCCCTTTGTCTCAAATCATTCAAATGTATAAGATTAATTTTCAATGGTTTGAGTGATTGTGAATGTTTTAGGACAGAAGAACAGGGACAAATGGAGATAAGAGAATCTTGGTCTAGAAAACCTTCTCGTGTATTTTGCAAGAGCAGGGCCGAGATAATCTGTGGCTTTGTATGCCATGACACCAATGTTTATTGGACAGTGATTATTAGCAACACTGACCAACAATGCTACGAGCACAAAAAAACTAATTCTTGAATCAAATAAATTCATTCTAATGTGTCTGCCAAAACACATTTTTGTTCTGTGTCCCAATGAGAAGTGGGAGATCTAGTTCATACAACAAACAATAATCGCAATTCACATACGCTTCAGTTGACATTTCCTTGTATCAGCGAGAACTAGGCAAGGGTGAGCGGGCTCGGCCACCACCTCCACCTTCATTGCCGCCATGTTTGTGGTGGAGCGGGGAGCGACTACGACCATGATGATGATAATTTGCAGGACGTTGGTGTTGGAGGTGGCACTGGGCGGCTGTGGTCTGTTTTGCGCCACCTCTGGACTCCTTGGCCTTCATCTTGATGGCATTGATTTGTGTCAAACTCTCCAGGACTTGTTCCATGGAGGGCCGGTTTTTGGGGTCGGATTCGAGACATTTGAGTATGAGTTGAGCTGTTTGGAATGCAGCTTGGAGAGGGTAATGGTCTGAAAGCTTTGGATCCATGATTTTCTTGAGCTTTCTTTTATCGGGCAGGGAAGGCCTTGCCCACTCTACCAAATTATGCTTCCCGGTTGGTCGTTCCATGTCGAGCACCCTTAGTCCAGTTAATATTTCAAGCAACACTACCCCAAAACCATACACATCGCTCCTCACGTACAAATGACCTGTTCAATTAATCGAAGTGTGTTATTATTGATTATCCTCCTGTGAATTCATTCAGATAAATCCACATTTGTGAAATCAGATGTGATAATAATTTATAGGAGGGAGGAAGATGAAAGAGATATATATACATACCAGTGGCCATGTACTCAGGAGCGGCGTAACCGTAGGTGCCAACAACGCCAGTTGTGACGTGTGAATTGCCATTTACAGGACCTAACTTTGCAAGCCCAAAATCAGAAAGCTTTGCATTGAAATCCTGGAAAAAAAAAATTTAAAAAATAAATAGATAAATAAAAATGAAATTAAAGCTAAAAATATTTGAGTATACCCCATCGAGCAATATATTGGAAGCCTTGAAATCACGGTAAATGACTTGCTTCTCGGTAGTATGCAAGAAAGCAAGACCTCTAGCTGCTCCAATTGCTATTTTAAGCCTCGTCTCCCATGGAACAGGTTCTGCTCCCTCTGCCAACAACCACCACCACCAAACCAACTTTAGTTTGTATCATGTAATTTTTTTTTTTTAAACATAAATTTATTTTTAACAAATTCTAGGAATAACCAAATATATATATATATATATATGACCCTTGTGTCTATTCTATTCTATGATATATATTTATATATATATATTTGTTTCTGCCTATGTAACAATTCTTTCTATATTTTGGATAAATTATATCAGTATTTCTTGTGATTTGATTTTTGTTTTAATTTTATCTGTATAATTTCAAGTGCGTCAATTCCCAGTTAAAAACTACACTTAAATTAAGGATAAAATAGTTCATTCACTCTCCTTAAAGTGATACAAATAAAATTATAACTAAACTGATATAAGAAACAAATTGCAAAACTATGAATGCAATAGAAGTGCCAAATTTTCTTACTTCTAAAAAGGTGGCTTTCTAAGCTCCCTTTTTGCATATGTTCATAAACTAGGAGGAATTGCTTGTCTTCCCAGCAATAGCCCAACAGCTTCACCAGATTTGGATGGCTATATTTTCCCAAAATTTTCACCTCTGCCTGCACTCATAAATTTACCAATTTATTTATTTATTTATTTTCAATCAGTAAGATATAATTTACAAAAACTAATAAACTCACAACATCATAATGTACATTCAAATATATAAAAAAATTCAACACATTACTCAAGAATACAAGAAACTCCATGAATATATATATATTGGTCATTTTTGTAAAGAAATATAATTGTCACCAGTTTTGGACAAATATTATCATTAAAGAATAGGTGCAGAAGCAACCATCTATTTCTGATGGAAGAAGGGAGGGAGGAAATTAGTTAATTGGCAACTTTATTTAATAGCAAACCTTGTCTTTCAAAAATGTTAGAGATCTCAAAATTTCTACCAAAATTTTTACTAAATGTCTCACGTGGGTATGGGTGTCCTACACCCACGTGAGACATTTGATAGAAATTTTGATAGAACTTTTGGGATCTCTAACCTTGCTCGTTGTCTTTTCTCTAACAAGATTAGGAGAATTGTTCAACAAAAACTAGTTAATGATTTAAAGTCAAACTACAGCAACTCAATACGTATATATATTTATGATGTTGTTCAATTAATAAATTTATTCACTTCTAAGCTCTTTTTTTTTTTTTTTTTTGGTAGGTAAGTCATAAGTTTTATACCAAAAAATAGATATTACACGCCCAGAGGCAACACACCCTTCAAGGAGGGAAAAAAAACAAGTCTAGCTTCTACACAAAATCTAACAAGTAGATTAACATACAAAGAGAATCCAAAAGCTAGGCCAAGCAACAATCAACAGACATGCCTACGATTTCATATGAGTCTTATAACTTGATTTCTTAAGCTGGATAGAGAGGCTAATCTCTTAAGCAAGTTTAAGATTAGCGATTCTCTCAAGAAGGTTTTTCTTGTTTTCCACTTTTGAAGATGGGTTTGTCCATGGAACAACGAATATTCCATCTGAAAGGGATTGGGTAGCTATTTTGAGATGTAAAGATCATTTAGGGGCTAACCCATTTATATTATCCACATCCCCGACAATTTCTTTCTCTTCCTTTGAAGCCTCTTTATTCGGAATATCTTTTGAGGGGTTACTCACTTTCAAAGAGGAGCAATTCACATCAAGCACACTCATAAGATCTGCACAAAAAGAAACCTTCTCATTGGCTACACAAGTATTAAAAATATCAAACGCATTTGAAGAAGATGAAGGAGGTGTAGGAACAAAGTTAACCATAGGAGTATCAACGACGTCCTTGCCTTTTTCTTTTCACTTCAACCCATTCACTTGGCTTGCCTCTATCCTTCGTCTCGACTATTTCTTTGGTCTTCCACTCTTGTTTGAGTTTTCGATTTACTTAGACACACACTTGTAGCATGACCAAATATTTTGCATTCTCCACACAGTTGGGGTTTCTAATGAACTTCCACTTTGATTTCGAACGGTTCTCCATATCCTAAGTTTAAAACAAAGGAAGGTGGAATCTCCTTAGTAGCTTCTATCTCAATACAAATTCTAGCAAATGTTAATCGGCTATGGTTTTAAGTAAATTCATCAAGGTACAAGGGATTACCGATAAAACTTGCTATGTAACGTAATCCCACCTCAGTCCAAAGTTCAAGGAGCAAATTGAAAAATTTTACCCATATCAGCACATTTGAGAAGACATTTTTAGTAAGGATCATACCATGGTGTCATTTCTTGATAACAATCAATTTGCTCCCAATATAATAAGGTCCTTCATCAAGAATGGACTTTAAAGCTTTTTCATTTTAATCTTGAATATAAAGTAGCTATTATCTAAGGTTACAACATTTTCAAGATTTTCCTTCCGCAACTTGTAGGCCCAAGTCTTCACTTGGAAAAAAGACAATTTTCTATCAATAAAATAACCCACAAGAGCATGTTCCCATTGCTTAAACCCAATTTTAGAGATTTCCAATTAGATTTGAAATTGATTGTTCTCATAACCCATCGAGTATCTCTTGAGGCGTTTAACTACTTTCTTCTTAGCAATCTCAAATTTAAATAAACCACTTTAAGGCATAGAGATAACATTATGCGAAGAAAACTTACCCAACCTATTGAAACTATGGTTTTGGATCATTTCTACTTCAGTATGATCGGATGAGTTCATAGAAGCCACACCTACCAACCTCTCTACACATGACATTTGAACCTAAGCATGCCCTTTTGCCTCATTACAGTCCTGCACATTTGTGGTTGGGGTACTTCCTTTTATTGTTGTCTCAATATCTCCCGTTGGTTCAGAGACAATTGTTCTGCGCAGGTCTTGTCCTGGTGACCTAGAACCCTCCATGGTATTGTAAGCTTCAACGAAATCACAATAAGTCTTTTCAATGTCAAAATTTTCACGTTCAAACTCAAGTTCTAATTGCTTTTGCATATAGTCTATATTATTTTGATTTTTATAATTGGCTTAATTTGAACTATTAGGGCCCAATTTCTTTTTCACCAAGCAAAAATGGAATTCTTTAAGCGATTTTGGATGATCTACCTTTCTTGTTTCTTAATTTCTTACCCATTTTCAGCAAACAAACTAGGGAAAATAGAGAGAAATCACAACCCAATTGCTATCAAGCTATAAGTTCAGCTTCGAACCTTTCATTATGAGACTGGGTATTGTAATAGAGCAACAATATTTACACAAATTTTCCAAAGAAAAACGCATTAATGTCGAATGCGAGAAGTTACCTCGACGGCGTTCTTGAGCAATAAGTCATCTTTGGAATCCAAGGACAGACAGGAACAAGAGCACCTATGTCTGCAACACATACTCTCTCTCTCGAACAACAACTATGATGACATTTTCTAGGGTATAGAAATGTGAAATCCTGAAGCTATCAACCCCAATCCCATCTCTCTTTGATTCTCTCTCTGCAGATTTTGGGACCAATCCTCTTGTACCTTGGTGTTGGAATTAGTTCTAAACTAGTTTTATTAGAACATTTGGCTTGTGTAGTATCATTTTTTGCTGTAAGGTTATGAGTTGAATTTTAAAATTATCTCATTTTCCTACTAATGACTAACCCCAACTAATATATATCATGTGGCCAAAAAATTAATTCTAAACTAATTTAACCCTAAGCCATACGAGTCTTAAGTTCATAGTTTTAAAATTATAACTGTGGGTGTACTTGGCAATGTCCACGTAGCCCATATCGCTCTATGAGAGATTACAGCTCCACTATATGAGTAGACTAACTTCCTTAGACTAATATGAGGCCTTTTAAAGTCGTAAGGGGTTAGCTAGCTGAAATGGCCTAACTCCAAAGCGGACAGTATCATGTTAGTCGGGGAGCGTTAGCTGCTTCATTTGGCGCCGTATGTGGAAACTCCCTGGGCAGGCAGCCAATCTACTGGGGATTTATGTAGGTTTACTCGGCAAAGTTTATGCATCCTATATCGCTGAGAGATCACAACTCCACTACATAAGTGGACTAACTTTCTTAGACTAGTATGAGGCCTTTTAAAGTCGTAAGGGGTTAGCTAGCCGAAATGGCCTAACTCCAAAGTGGACAATGTGGAGGATTAGCTGCTTCAATAACATACTCCATAAATCAAAATATAGCACACAATACATATTTGCTTTCCCACATATAGAGGAGGAAAAGTGGTACATATAAGAAAGAAGAAAATAAGATAAAAGAGAAGTTTCTCCTATCCTAACAATATTATCTTTGCATGTTTAGAGTAACAAATTTTCATGGAGCCTCTCTTAAACACAAGTATTATCAGTGAAAATGATGTTCAAGCTTACCCACGGGACAAGCCTAATGTGCCTTTTTTTCCATGGGCTTGGTCGGCAGTTAAAATCTTACATTCAAGCCCTACTCAACAGACTCACAAGCAAGATAACGTGTAGGCAAACTCCACGAGACGGGACAATGGGTGACTGGAACTTCAAACATTAGGCCCAAGCCCACCGGCTAAAACTAGTTGGGCCACGGTCTGAGTCACGTGAACTTTTTCTTCTATGAGATGTTAGGGGCATTGGCCCATAAGCACCCCATAATTTATTCCTAACAGGTCCTCCATGGAACAACCCCTCCCCTCCCCGGGGGCAAATCAGGCAATTCACATCTAATGGGAAATGTTTGTGTTTATACTCCTTGACTTTGATTATATTTAATAATAATAATAAACAAATCCATTGACTTTTTCAACTAAAATGCCGCCCCCCCACCCCCGCGGGGCAAATCAGGCAATTCACATCTAATGGGAAATGTCGGTGTTCATACTCCTTGACTTTCATTATATTTAATAATAATAATAATAATAATAATAAACAAATCCATTGACTTTTTCAACTAAAATGCCACTTTTGACTTTCAATGCTTCATACTGACATATTTCATGGTACGGTTATATTAGAGTATCTCCAATGCACTAGGCATATAATACTTGTTAGTTAAAATGTCTAGTGTGATTTACTTTTTTCAATTTCAATACACTAGGCATATGATTAGGCATTTTGGCTCAACTCATATTCACTAGCTACATGTAGCTAGCCTTCAACGCTAGGCAAAATGTATTCAATCATTAGGATCATTTCCCTCCATCTTTGTTGTTGACGTGACATTCTATAAAATTAATAGTATTTTGATAAATAGCTAAAATAAAGAGCATGGTTGGAGTAAAAACATAAAACAGTTGATAGGTAAAATAAAATACATACTTTATAGTAATATTTAGATAGGTAAAATGCCTAATACCATTAGAAATGCTCTTACTACATACGTGCATATCATGTGTATATATATATATATAAATATTATATATTTAGAAAAAAATAATTATCAGTAAACATTTTACTCAGCTTAGAACTCTAAAACAACACCAAAAGAAAAAACCAAGGACCAGTTATAGTCCAATCCACAGGTTATATATACGTATATAAAAAAAATGTTGCATATTTAGAAAAAAAAATTATCAGTAAACATTTTACTTAGCTTCTCATTTGGAAATAGGCTTTTTTAGTAACTTTTTGACTTTTTGACTAAAATATGATGTAAAAAAATGTTTGGAATGACTTTTTATTTTTTACAAAAAGATATACAAAAAGTAAAGAGAAAAGAAATTTTTTAATTTTTTGGTATAAGTTATTGACTTTTTAATTTTTTTAATAATTTTTTAACTAAAAAAATTACTTGCCAAATGAGAGCTTAATATATGAGAGAATTCTAAAACAGCAAACACCAAAAGAAAAACCCAAGGATCAGTCCAATCCACTGGTTATATAAATAATATATCATACATATATGTAAAAAATGTTTTATATTTAGGCCTCGTTTGGGAACAGGCTAATTTAGTAACTTTTTGGCTATTTGGCTAAAAAGATAGATAAAAAAAACTTGTATGTTTGGGATGACTTTTTGGCTAATTACGAAAAGATGCGCAAAAAGTAGAGAGAAAAGAGAATCTTTGACTTTTTGGTATAGGTTGTTGGCTTTTTGGCTAATTTAGTAACTTTTTGGCTAATTGGCTAAAATAGCCTCTTGCCAAACGAGGCCTTAGCCTCCGTTTGGGAAGTGGGTTGGCTTTTTGGCTTTTTGGCTTTTTGGCTTTTTTGGCTATTTTAGCCTGGGCTAAAAAGTTTGGTTTGGGAAGGGCTTTTTGGCTTTTTTGATTTTTTTTGTGAGAGAAGAGTGTAATGATTATGGGTTGGATGTGATGTTTTGTTTGTTGTGGCTAAAATAGCCTGTTTTGTCTTTTGTGGCTATTTTAGCCCCAACCCAACTTGCCAAACACCACCTTAGTATAAAAAAAATTAAATATTATTGTATATATTTAAATCTTTTGAAAAATAATTGTTACATAATTTTAAATTTTAGCACACCTTTTTTAATATTACCTAAACAAAAGCCATGAAAGAAAATATAGATGGTGACTGTACAGGTCGTATACTCCAAAAAGTCTAAACCAAACTTTGTTTTTTCATACTGAAGTCAGTAGTTGTGTGGATGAATTTATTATATATATTTAAATCTTTTGAAAAATAATTGTTACATAATTTTAAATTTTAGCACACCTTTTTAAAATATTATTGATTATCTAAATAGAAGCCATGAAAGAAAATTAAGATGGTGGCTGTAGAAAAAGTCTAAGCCCTGGTTTGGCAAAAGATATAAAAAAAATTTAAAAAAATCAAAAAATCAAAAAAAGTTAAATTTTTTTTTTTATTCCAAAGTCTAAAAGTAAAAAAAGCCAAATAAAAAAATCAAACAAACAAAAAAATTCCAAGTTAAAAAAAGTCAAAAAAATTAAAAAATCGACTAAAAATGTTATTACCAAACGATCCCTAAATCAGACTTTGTTTCCTAATAAATAAGCTCAAAATTTCAGATTGAAGTCACTAGTTGTGTGGATGGATTTAGTTGTTTAGAAAAAGTTTAAAATACAAAAATCAATCACAAAATCAAATTGTTTGATAGTGTATTCATACAAAAATTATGAAATTACTGAAAAATACTTTGAATTTGTTGTTTAATATTTGAAATATTTTTGGTGCAAGAGTATGTTTAAATTTACCTGCCATTCTTTGAGACCTTGAGAGCTGTCAGGGCTAGATTTCTTGACGGCTACGGCCATTCCAACGCCGACCCTCGACGGCGCGTAAGTCTTCTCATCGACCCAACCCTTGAAAACCCTTCCAAACCCTCCCTCTCCCAACACTGTGTCCGGCCTGAAGTTCCTCGTTGCAGTCTTCAGTTCCGCATATGTGAACATTTTCAAGTTCGGTGTTGTAATTTGCCCACTCGGCGGCAACTCCTGCACAACACCACCACCACCTCCAGCTGCAGGCGACGCCCTATTTTCTGCACTGTTGTTGCTGTTGCTGTTGCTGTTGCTGTTGCTGTTGCTCTTCTTAAACGCGTCTTCTTTATAATTGTGCACTGATAAAATTAAGAAATAAATAACGTATCAGTTTTACAATCGTTTCATTGATCGGAGACACAGAAAATAACCAACCGAAACCAGGTAAATGAAGAATTCAATCGATATATATATAAATATGTACCTGGAGAGGATGGTTTGGTGGCGAATGGGCTGTGATTATCTACTGGTGCCGGAGATGGCCAACAGTTCCCCATCTGTGTGTGTGTGTGTGTGTGTTTGTGTGAACAGAACAGAACTTAGAAGAAGTTTAGTTTGACACAGATATAGAATTGGGGTTTTTTGTTTCTATATTTCCTAGTTCCACGAAGGAGAGAAGAAGGGCAGAGGAAAGAGAGGAGTTCAGGAAAAACTAGAGGTGATTTATAGTTTCGTCAAACAGATGGGTCTGTCTTTGTATGACTTTTTCTTGCTTAAAATACTCTCCTTACTCTCATTTTCCTTGGATTAATATATAATTATTATCCAATAAACAAAAGATTAATTTATAAATAATAATTAGTGTCTCTCGTTTTCCTTAGATTAACATATAATCTCCAACCAACAGTAGAATATTATTTATCAATAATAAGGCTCAGTTTGGTTTAATTTTTGAAATGAATTTTGAGTTTTGAATTGCATTTTGACAAATGAGTTGTTAAAAAGAGTTTTGAAAGTTGAAAATCTGTTTGATTATGAGTTTTAAAAATGACTTTTGGATGATTTTTATTTTTTTGTTTTTTTAGTTGAATAGATGAGGGGTGTGAGAGAAAATTCGATTGATTAATGTGAAGAATGTGAAAGAATGAGAGAGGAGAGAAGAGAGAGAAAAAATGGTTAATTGATTTATTAATAATAAAAAAAAGGAGAGGAGTTTTGAATTTAATATACTTTTCAATTTTTTTATCCAATTCATCATATTTTAAAAATCAAACCAAACACTTAATTAGTGTTTCTAATATTATTACAAGGTTTGTATTGACTAGCAGGAAAAAATTAATTTATTGACCTTTTTTACTTATTTTGAAAAAATGTACCCCAAAAAAAAATGGATTTGGTTTGAATTTTCTGGATTAAATTTTTTAAAAATTGAATTTTTTAATTTTCGTATTTTTTTTTGTTTTTAGTGAATTTTTTTAAATTTTAAACATTTTTTTTACTTTTTTAGATGCACCTTACTTAGATGTATCTACAAAAACAAAAAATTTGTGAAAAAATATTTTAAAAAATTAATAAATACATAAAAATACAAAAAATATACTGAATTCTTGTATTTTTGGTATTTAGTGAATTTTTAAAAGATTTTTTTTACAATTTTTTTACTTTTAGGTGTATTTATGTTAGGTGTGTCTAAAAAGTAAAAAAATTGTTTAAAATATTTAAAAAATTCAGTAAAAACAAAAAAATACGGAAAATAAAAAAATAAAATTTTTTGAAAAATATTTTTTAAAAAGTGAAAACATGTGATTTAAAACAAGTCAATAAGTAAATAAAATAATTTTTTTTTTTCATATGTTCTCCAGAAGGCTGAAGTTTTAAGCGTACGGTACGTATGCATGGACTTATTAGTCCTGAGATCATTAGAAATAGTGCCATTATGTTTTTTTAAAAAATAATTACAGAATGCTTAGAGTTTAGAGTTTAAGTAAACACAAGATGACTGTATAATAAATAAATAAACAAAACAAAACAAAAGAATGAGGTTGGTGATTTCAATGGCCATGTAAGAGTAGATAAATTAGATTATGAGAGGGTGTATGATAGGTATAATTTTGGTGATAGAAATAAGGTTAGAAAGTGTGTTTTAGATTTTACGTTAGTTTCTAACCTAGTAGTGGCCAATACTATGTATAAGAAGAGAGATGAGTATTTGATAATTTTTAAAAGTGAGTCAATTAGAAGCCAAATAGATTACTTTCTAGTAAGAAAAGGGGGCCGTCTGCTGCGACTATAAGGTGATTGCTGAAGAGAGCTTGACGTCTCAACATAAAATTTTGGTACTAGATTTATACTTTAAAGGGCAATACCATGTTCAGAAAGATAACGGGTGTCGCAGGACTAGATGATGGGACTTAAAAAGAAATAAACTAGACACATTTAAGAATATAATGGATAAAGAAGGTAATTGAGACTTGGAAGATGATGCTAATACTATGTGGAACTTGATGGCCAATTGTATGAGAAGAATCTCAAGGAAAATTCTTGGAGAGTCGAAAGGAAAGTGACCAAACTTTAGGAAAACTTGGTAGTGAAGGGAAGAGGTCTAACAGGTAATAAAGACAAAAAAAAAGAGAGCTTTAAAAAGTGACAGAATGATAGAACTGAGAAAAATCTTAAGCGCTATAGATTGGCCAATAAAGATGTCAAAAAGTAGTGAATGAAACTAAATTGAAAGCCTATGATGACTTATACACTAAACTAGATAGTAAAGAGGGAGATAAGAGGATATACAAACTTGCTAAGATAAGAGAGAGAAAACAAGAGATTTTAAACAGGTTAAGTGCATCAAGGGTGATGACTCTAAGATGTTGGTGAATGATGAAGAGATTAAGGAGATGTGGAAGAACTATTTTGAGAAGTTGTTAAATGAGGAACATGGAGGTAGGTTAAAAGGGGAGGAAGTAATCAGTAATAAAAAAAAACCAGGACTATAAGTTCTATCGTAGAATTAAGGACTTTGAAGTGGAGTTTGCATTTAAGAAGATGAAATTGAATAAGGCTTTAGGAACCAATGATATGTCTATTGAAGCGTGGAAATGTTTAGGTAAGAAGGGGGTTATTTGGTTGACTAGATTATTTAGCAAAATTTTGTTGACTAGAAAAATACCAGAAGAATGACGGAAGAGTATTTTAGTGCCAATATATAAGAATAAAAGAGATGTCTAGGATTGCAACAACTATAGAGGAATCAAGTTAACGTGTCACACAATGAGAGTGTGGAAAAGAGTGATGGAACGTCTATTGCGAGATATAATAGAAGTGTCGGAGAATCAATTTAGGTTTATGCCTAGCAGGTCAACAATGAAAGCGATCTATTTTTTGAGGAGTAATAGAAAAGTATAGAGAAAAGAAAATATATAGTTTTTATCGATCTTGAGAAATGATATAATAGAGTGCCTCGGGATATCATCTAGAGGGTGTTAAAGAAGAAAGGGATGACAAAATATTACATTGATGTGATTAGGGATATGTATGAAGATGCGGTGGCTACTATTAGATCGCCTGTTGGAGAGACGAGTGAATTTCGAATTACTGTAAGATTATACCAAGGATCAACCTTAAATCCTTATCTTTTTGCTTTAGTTATGGATGAATTGACGCACAATATTCAGGATAATATGCTATAGTGTATGTTTTTTGCAGATGATATCGTGTTAATGGATGAAACTAAAGAGGAGTTAACATTAAGTTAGAGATTTAGAGAAAACGCTTGAATCTAAAGGATTTATGATAAGCAGAACTAAGACAGAGTATATGGAGTTTAATTTTAGTAACAGTCACAATGGAAACAGAGGAGAAGTGAAGATTAAGAATCAAGAATTACCTAAAAGTGAATATTTTCGTTATTCATGATCGATTATCACAACGACTGGGGAAATTGGAGTGGATGTGGTCTACAAAATTAAGGCGGTGTGGCTTAAGTGGAGGAGTGCGTCTGAAATATTGTGCAATAAACGAGTATACATTAGACTAAAAGGAAAGTTCTATAGAACGGCTATTAGACCAGCGATATTGTATGAGACAGAATGTTGGGAAACTAAGAAATAACATGTAGATAAGATGAGTGTTACTGTGATGAGAATACTAAGGTGGATGTGTGACAAGACTAGAAAAAACAGAGTTAGGAATGAGTATATTCGAGAATGAGTAGTAGGAGTACCGATAGAAAATAAGTTGAGAAAGAATAGTTTGAGATGGTTTAGTCATATACAACGAAAACTAACTGAGACAGGGCTGACCCTGGGCATAGGCCCACTAGGCCATGGCTTAGGCCCCTCAAAATATACCCAAAAAAGGGGCCCCTCCTATTGTAGTTTAGTGTAATACTAGCCTTTCACCCGTGCTATGCACGGGATAATTATAGATATTTATATTTGTTTTAGATTTTTTTTAATATATAAATTATGTTTTTTAAGATTTTTTATAAAAATAATTTAACAATCTTATCACTAACTATAGTATATGAAAAAAGTTGAAAAGGGTACTGCAGTAACTATACACAGATTGTATCTATAATTATTTGTATGAGGGGATTTTAAATGTTGATCAGGAGATTTTGACCAAATCAATAAATGCAGGCATGTGGATTGAAAAAAGTTAATTAATGCTGATCAGGAGATTTTGACCAAATCAATAAATGTAACGCCCTCAAAAAAAACAACAATAAACCCATCAGATAAGACATGCATTTACATATAAACTAACCACATTCTTTTATTCATTGGAGTTCCATTACATAAGTATTACATGTTAACATCATAAACAAAATGCCCTACGGGCTTACAGCTTTCCAAGTTAACACTTGGTTACAACAAAAGAGTACTAACTCAAACACA